GCTTGCTTTCAACTCACAGAACGTATTCTCGAAGCACCTTTCGGGGGCTCTGTGGGTCATAATGGGTTTCTGTTATGATGACAATTGCTTTCTGGCCACGGTTGGTTGGCTTAGTTGGATAGAGCATCGTGCTCGAAGCCAAAGGCACAGGCTTCACAGACTCGCGGCATGGTTTCATGGTCATGGATGATGCCTTGAACCCCAGCCAGCCTTGGAAAAGCATAGTCCTGAGGTGGAGCCTGACTCTTCCAGAGAATGACTGTGAGACCTGCAGTGAGATTCTTGAATCTCTTGCCTGCTCCCCTGTGAATTCTTTCCTTACAAAATGGGAATGATAATAACACTTTCCTCCTATGGTTGTTGCAAGTGTCAAATGAGATAACATGAAGTTGCACAGTGATGTGCCCTGCATGGCGAGTGGCACATGGGGGCTGCTTAGAACTGTTGGCTCTCGCTGTTCTTGGAATGAGAGCCCCAAATGACAACACACAGATGCTCTGGGGCAAGCCCTGGGAGAGAGGGAGAAACAGCTCCAAACTCTCCCCACAGTGGGGCAGAGTGCTTGTTTCATGTGGCCAAAGAGAAGGCACATGACCTCTGTTGCCTGGAAACAATTTTGAAGGTGGCCTTGGAGATGCCTGGATTAGAGATGCTGTGGGAATTCACAGCAGGGCCAGGAATTGTGGAGACCTGAGGTCATGCAATTCAGGGCCAGAGGTTTAGTGCAGAATCGGGTACCAGGTACCAACTGGCCAAAGGGCAGGAGGTTTCCCATGGCATCTTCCATGAAGGACCCAGAGGCCCCCGAGATAAAAGGAAGGACAGGACAGTGGTTAGGAGTGTAGAGCTGGAGGACTGAGGAATCAAAGCCTGATTCCCCCACTTGAGCCTGTGTAACCTCGAGCAAGTCATAATCTCTGCCTCCACTTCCATTCTGGTAAACTGGTGGCAATCATATTGTCAACCCCATAGGACTGTGATGAGACTTAAGTGAGAAGTGTGTCTGATGTGAGAATTAGTGCATGCGATAGCTGTGTATTACTATTATTTAGTAATATTAGTGTATAATATATATGCTAATTGAAAGGCTTTACTACTTCCTGGAGCTAGAGACCTGGGCCCCTTCTGAGCCCATGGTTTGGCTTCTGTGCCCTCTAGGTGATACCTGTACTACACAGATCAGCATCAGCATCAGGTTTTGTGTTCATCTCCCCTCCGTGAGGGCAGGCTGGATGTCTCATTTATGTTGTATTTCAGTATCAGTTGTAGACCCTGATCCATCCCGGGTGTTCACTAAAGATTTGCTGTATGAACAGATGACGGTCTGTTGCCATGACATTCTAGTCATTTGCCAGTTGCTTCAATTCTCACTGGGAACCTCCTGTGTGCCCTTGAGCAAGTCACTCACCATCTCTGGGCCTCAATTTTCTCATTCACGAAATGAAAGTATTAGCAATTTCCAGGTCCCCACCCAACTTGAGGAATCTGTGATTTTTCTGGTTTTACAGCTTTTATTTTTATAATCCTGGAGTTTTCCAAGAAGATTCTGTCACTAACTTTTTAGTGGAGGGGAATAGAATGGCTGCTGGGCTTTTTTGGGGGTGGTATGGGAAGGAGTGGGGTGTGGGGCTAAAAATGAAGTCTGAGAGAGCAAAGAAAATTTATGGCAGGGTTGTAGAAAGGTGTCAAGGAGCTTGGCCAAGGGGGAGCTAGAGGAAACGGGAGGGCGGGTCAAGCAGCGAGGCTCCTCCAGGGCTTGACTGCAGTTTATTAGTCTGGACTCCATAGAGATGGGTTATCTCTTGGAAGATCATTTTAATAACAGAGAGGACAGGGAATTAAGGATGCTGGCTGCTGGCTGGCCAGGGCTGGGTGACTCTTATTCAGACATGGAGTTAATGTCTTTGCTAAAATTGCCCATCTGATTAGATTCTCTTTCAGGTGTCACTCCCCAAGGAGTTTCTATCGAGGCGGCTCTGGAGATGTGGCTGCTAAGGACTTTGTGAGGGGAGACCATTGGGAAGTTGTCCAGACTCAGAGGAGGCCAAGGGGGGGAAGGCCAGCAGGGGGACACTGAGGGCAGTGAGCCATGTGTAAATGCAGAGCCTATGGCCCTGCACCTGTGGGTCCTGGGGCCAGACAAGTCTCAGCTCTGCTGCTTGCTAGTCGTGCTGTGGGGGCGGGCCTCACTTTCTCCCACCCCCAATTTTCACTGACAGAAAAGATTCCCCAGAGCATCATAGAAGTATCTTGTAAACTCACTCCCTTCAGTCCATATGCCACAGCTGGCTTTGGTTATTCACATTCGTGGAGGAGACTATGGCCTGGAGAACTCCAAGTAGTGGAGAAGACATGGAGTTGAATTGGGCTTGAGGCTTGCAGTCTATGATTCCCACGCCCCCGCCCCCTTTCTGAGAATCCGCTTTCCTAACAGTGTCAGGGCTGACATTGGAACAGGTAGCCAGCATGGTTCCTCAGAGCATGTGTGTCCAGGACCCTGAGCCCCACCTCCTCCTCTTGTCGATGACCAATCAGGGTTGATCTGCTGTCAGAGGCCTGGGCAGGGCTGGGGACCCTCAGAACATTGTCAAGCCATGTGCTTTACTATGGACCCACTGCATGGCATAGGCAAGTTGCTGAAATTCTCTGAAAGCCTCCAGACACAGGGAATGGCTTGGGCAAAGACATGGTGGCATCAAAGAGCAGATCCAAAAATCACAGCATCATTTGCACGTTTAGGAGTTTTTCACTATTATTCCATTTCACTAGCATTGTTGCTAATGATAGTAATGTTAAACAATTAAAAATAAAACTCTTCCAACTTTTAATTAAGTCAGAATCTCAGGTGGAGGGGGGTGGAGGTGGCAAGGATTGGCTTTGTTTTTTTTTAGTAATAAAATAAATAAAACAGTTAAAAGTAAGATAAATGAAAATAAACTAGCAAAAAAAAATAGAGAAAGTTCCCCAGGTGATTTGAACATGCACCCGAGGTTGAGCACTACAGCCAGGAGCCTTGCATGGGCTGGGCGGGCTGGGGTCACCGTGTACACAGTTCAGGGCCAGTGGCACTAGCCAGGGAACAGCTACCTGCCACAGATGGAGGATGTGCTGTGGGGCCACATCAAATTTCAAAGATGACGTTCAGGGATTGGAGGAAATGTGACTTAATTTATAGCAAGAGAAATTGGGTTAGGTCAATGGAAGTGGGTCAAGGCCCCAGAAAGGTTCCCGGTGGACACTGTCCTTTGTGATGAAGGGACAGAATGGGGACTCTGCTGTGCAAAGAACTGTGAAACTCTCATTGGTGCAATACAGAGAGTGTGGGGTTGAAATGCTCCACCTGTGTGGCTTGGGGGACACTCACCCCCCTTCCTGGGCACTCAGTGGAAACTTTGGAAGGCCTGGGTTGAGTTGGTGTGGGTGGCAAGAGCTTTGGGCCGGGAGCCACACTGGTTGCCCACTGATCTTAAGCTCTGGGCAAGTCTCTCCTCCCACCTGGGTCACAGTCTCCTTTCTCACCTGGGACCTGAGGGAGCTGGGTGAAGGCAGGTCAGTCCCATGCTTCCTGTGCCCACACTATTCAGTGCCAAAGACTGTACAGGGCAGATGAGGAGTGGCCGGGGTAAAACCCCTCCTTTACGCTGCAGTGGGCAACCTCCTCGGTTCCCACAGAGCAGAGCCACTGAGAGAAGTCACTCAGAGAAGGGGCAGTGTGGGGAGTCAGGGGAGAGGGGCCTCATGAATGGAAACTGCTTTGGGAGGGGGCAGGGGAGGAGAGCTGGAGGAAGGGGACAGAGGGCCGGGAGGGCACGTGGAAGAAGGAGAATACAGCCTCATCTGCTTGTTTGTGTTTCTTGTATGTAAGATGTAGACTCCTAGCATATTTTTAAATCCATCAGACATGAAAAGCTGATTTAAATAGCCCCACAGTGTGAAGCTGGTAATTTCACTTGCCACGATGCAGAAGCTGGCAGGGCTCCGGCAGGACTCAGCACCTCTGCCCACGCCTGGGAAGCTGTGGAGCACGAAGCGCTCTGGGCTAGGCTTTCAGGCCAGGTGCCATCCCCTCCATGACTGGGGATCACAGAGAGAAGGAGGGAAAGAAGACAGTCGATGGGAGAAGAGGATACATCCTTCACTTCACTCGGATCTCCAGAATGGCAAGGTGGAGGCCGGGACCTTCTCATTCATTGTGTCTCCTTTCTTCCCAGCATTCCTAAGAACCAAGTGTCAGGGAGCTCACTTCCTAGCAGGCAGCCTGGCCCAATGCTCAACAGTGCTGAGATAAACTCCTTTGGGATAAACTGGCCTTCCCTGATTCTAGTCCTGCCCCCATGAGTCACTCAGAACAAGCTTAATGCCAAAGTCAGGCCTTCCTCCTTGAACGGAGCACTCAGGTTCCCACTTCTACTTTAATCCTTCTTTACCATAAATGATTATAAAGAAAATGTGTGCAAGACCAAAATATTTTGGAGTGCTCATGAATGTATTTCCTGCTCTAGTCAATGCGACAAAATTCCAAGAACAACCAAAGACTTCCATCATTTTTGAGTTGTCACCTAAAACTAGCTACTCTAGGCCAGGCTAGGTGCTCCTGTTGGCATGCAGGACAGAGTTCCCACCAACAGGGAGTCCGTCTACAGATGATGGGGGCAAAGTCGCAAGAGAAGTCTGTGGGGGGCGGAAGTACCAGGAGCACAGAGGCTCCCTCTGCAGAGTCCAGGAGGGCTGGGTGGAGGTCCCCACGGGGATGCCCTCAGGTGTTGCAGCGGCTGTTAATCTATACTGGTGGGCTTCTAGGCCTCCCCACCCACCGCTCGTCTTGCTTTCTAGCTCCCTCATCCCTTGATGTTTCCCAAGACCAACCAGAGCAGCTTAGGGTTTCAGTTGCTGGGGATAGAAAAGAATCACTCCTTTTCTTCATGGAACATACAAGCTTGTGAACATTTTTTTTTTGTTTTTAATTTTTATTGTAGTAAACTATACATAACATAAAATCTACAATTTTAACTATATCAAAATGTGCAATTCAATGGCATTAAGTACGTTCACAATATTGCATGTGTAGTCATCACCACCAGTCATCTCCAGAAGTATCCACCACCCTGATGTAAAAGTGCTTTATAACCCACATATACAAAGGTGGGTGCTTTAGGAAGGCACTCTCTAAAAGTCTGCCCTGGGCAGCAAACTCATCCATTCACCCACCTAGTGTCTCTTCTGTACCAGGCCCTGCTATATACAAAAATGAAAGTCAGAACCTTGCCAGCAAGACCTTGTATTCTGCGACCCTGGCCCCCTATGCAACTTTAATGCATGGTAGAGATGGGTGGGATGGTGCACGCCTATAATCACAATAACTTGGGGGAGGCTGAGGCAGGAAGATTGCAAATTCAAAGCCAGCCTCAGGAATTTAGCAAGGCCCTAATAAGCAACTTAGCAAGAACCCATCTCAAAATTTTTTAAAATGCAGGGCATAGAGGTTTGGGGACTTGGGGATATGGCTCAGTGGTTAAGCTCCCTGGGTTCCATTCCTGGTGCCCCCAAAAAGCATGGTAGAAAGAAACAAAGTGTACTTACATGAAAGTGTCTAGTTGAAAGGAATGCAAGTTTTACTTATTCTCCTTTCAAAGAGAAATGGGAAGTTCTTTGACCCGTGACCGCAGCTTCTCCAAGTTACAGGGAACATTCTTTCTAACCCTCTTTGTTGGGCTTTGGTCTCTTGCATAGGGTGCAGAGTTGGGTGGGGGAGCAGGTGATGATGTTGTTTAAAGCCTTTCCGTGGATTAAGCTCTTTCCCTAGACTTCTCATTTGCTTTCCCACTACCTTGGGGGAGGGGAGGTAAGGCAGAGAGTACTATTTTACAGATGTGGATGTGGATTCAGAGCATCCAGCTGTTCCAGGTTTTGCCCATGGTTGCATAATTTGTATGCAGGTCCTTATTCTGAAGAGGCTAGAGAAAGCTTTTGGGAGAGACACAATTGGGTACGTACAGCTGATTCCACACCAGGAAGAAAGAGAACTGGGAAGGGACGCATCTTGTATGCACAGAGGCATGGAATCCAAGTTAAATTGAGACATTGGCTGCCTGAAGATAATATATTGCCACTGGCAGCAGCTGGGGAGGCTGCAGGGGGGTGAGAGAGGGTGCTTTGATGGGCATCACATTGAAGGCAATTGAATCGCAGCAGCTGGAATGCTCCCCAGGATGTTCTTGCAAAAAGCAGAGACAGCACCTCATTTGAACCAGGGAGGCAAAACTCAATTGATCTGCCCAAGCCACAGAGACTCAGTTGTCCAGTTTTGGAGACCCTGGGGTTCCAGTGAAGCAGCTCCAGCCTTTGGGGGTGTGGGGTGACGACCTTGTTCTAAAGAAATGATGCTCTGTTTTCAACTCCTATCAGGCAAACACAGTTTGCTAGACACTGGACCAAATGTGAGGCTCAGAGATGAATGTTCCTGCCCTACGTAACTTGATCCAGTTCCTAGTCCAGTCTTTTGCTCTTTAGAGCCTAGTAGGCAGCATGTCTGCATAACCATCCTGCAAAGTGGCACAACTAGCATCATTACAAAGGGGTCGGGAGACCGTGCACCTGTTGTTGGACCACACCCAATGCTCTGCCTTTGATGCCGTGCTGCACCTGCTCAGTGAATCCCACTTCCACCCCTACCTTTCTCAAATCCTGCTGAGTTCCACATCCACATGTTTCAATTCTTGTTCCCAAGTTTTAAAAGAATGCAATCCCATTCTCTCTGCATTCTTCAGACATTTTTGCTTAGTGGTGCAGTGTTTTTATGAGCAGTATTTATTTTTATAGGTCAGATAGATCCAGCCATAATTCATTATGATAGTACAGGCATTATTGGTCCTAGGAGTCCTCATTTGTAGGAAGAAAAGTCTCCTGGTGCTATGACAAGGGTCTCCAAGTACCACTTTTGAATCCTAGCCAAAGCCTTGATGAGGTCCCAATTTGGAACAAGGGTCAGTGCTTGGACCTGACTCAGCCCTGGCCCCAGAGTGATAAATGACACAGCCTCGCCTGTGCTCCTCAGTTTCCACATTGATTTCAGTTGTCTGCCAAGCACCATATGGCTTCCCAACCCCCATCATTTCCAGCACTGTTCTCCTAAGTAGGGCACTTTGATTAAATTGGCTCCGCTGAATTGGGTGAAAGGTGGAGTTATGATGTTCTTCGTTATTGCTATTGCTGGTAACTCTATTAATAGAAACACCAACAGAGGTAGGAATGGGTGTTGGACGTTCCGAAAGTGCTTGCATCCTGTCAATCACCCCTCTCTATAAGGAGGGAGGAATAACCCATAAAGAAAGACCTGTGGCTTTTGATTGAATTTGTTTAGCCTCTTTCTGATTCTTGGGTGAAAGGAGGAGAGGTGGCAGTACTTCCCGGGCCAGCCCCTGAAGCCAAGTTGAGGCTTTAATTCCAACCTGCAGGAACGTACCACATAGGTCTTGGGACTTTTATGCTTGTGGACTGTAATTTTTATTTATGTTGAAGTAAACTGCCTTTTCATTTCAAGCTTCAGATCTGGTGTGCTGTCTTCCCACATCCATCCCTTCTGAGCAGAGCTTTGCAAGGTGCTCTTGCCAGCACAGGGAGTCCTGCCTGAGGATGTCTGTCCTCCCCTGACTTCCCCAAGGGACTGAGCACCTCCCTGAGCAGCTCGCCTCCAGCAGGCAGCAGGGCATCTAGAAGCTCAGGTGGAAGGGAGGGTCTCTCAGGTCTCAAGGCCCTCTTCCCTTCTTCAATTCAGAAGAAAGGAGAGACTTAGGGTAGGTGGTCAGAAGTGGAGTTAAGTGATGGAACCAGATCCCAGTTGTGTTTTGTAGAATGTAAGAAAGGAAGCAGGGAATGGTGAGTAGAACTTGATTTGTGCCCAGGGAAGGTTTGAGATTTCAAATATAAACTGAAGTATGTTTAAACACCTAAAGTAAGACATGTCCAAAGAATAAGAGGAAAGGATGAGAATAATGTCCTACTAAGTAAAGAAGATCGATAAAGACAGAACGATTATGATATGGTACCAAATAGAAACTCTGGAGTTGAAAAATCCAATAAAGGAAATGAAAAATGCACTAAAATGTGCATAAAATTCCTATTTGATTAGGTAGAAGGAAGAATAAATGAACTTGAAAATAGGTTAACTGTGATTAGCCACTCTGAGGGACACAAAGAAAAAGGAAGAACAGAGTCTCAGAAACCTGAGGGACACCATCAAGAGTGCCAGATATGTACAATAAAAGTTCCAGAAGGAAAGGAGAAGGAGAAAGAGGTAGAAAGAATATTTGAAGAAATGAAGACAAAAAACTCTCCAGAGGGAGGGAACCATAGATTGGGGCTGAAATCATGCATCAGGCTCTGCTAGGCAGAGAACAAACAAGAGCAAGGGACAGCAAGGCCATGAGACAAAGCCAGCTCTGAGCTCAAAACCTAGGGAATGGGCTGGGCAGAGACACTCACTGAGGTAGTGTTTATAAAAGGGCTCAGTTCAGGGTAGGTGCTTGGTAATTGTCAGCTGGATCCAAATTTGAAACTGATGCAAGGCAAACGGGCTAGGTAGCGACTCAATGTTGACAACCCAAATTGACCTGGCTTATTAAGACCTACTTGGTACTGTGCTAAATACTTCACCTCCATTACCCCCTTAAGCATTTGAAATATCCCTGTGAGGTAGACATTGAAACCTCCAATCTACACGTGAATGAGAAAACTGGGTTCAGGTCAAGGTCACTACCAAATGGGTTGGAGCCAGAAGGTTCTTCTGAGTAGTCTGTCAGTGGGTGACACCATGTGGGTATCTCTGACCCACATGATAGCTTAAAAGAAATGGGAGGAGGGGAGGTTGTGAGCAGGGGACAAGTATTACACCGAGTCCCCTGCTGTCCCCTCTTCTCTTCTCTTTTACAGTGAGGCTGGGGAAGGGAGCAGCAAAGGTGTCCCTGCCCCTGCTTCTCTGCCTGGACCTGTGAAGAACCATGGGAGTTACCCCACATGCCAGAAGGCCTGGCACCAGTGTGGTCACACCCTCCTCTGTATGGGAAAAATGTAACCTGGAAAGGGACAAGTGACTTGAATAAAGGCGTCTGTGGGCTTAGGGAACCCCAGGGGTAACCTGCTCCTCCTCCTGGTTTTCTCTCTCCATGACCATCACTACCTTCTACTGCCCACCCCACATACACAGAGGTATTGAGGGCCACCTCTGGGTGTCCCACACATCCCCCTTTCCTGCCAAAGTCCAATTATGAGGCTGCCACCACCACCCTTCCCTTAGGAAAGGAGTTTCCTGTGAGTTCTTCAGAGTGAGGTCTGGGGCCACTGATGAAGGAAAGTGAATATGCCACTGTAAGCATCTGAGCAGGAAGCTCTGGAGCATCAAGTAGCCCCTCCCTCCATTTTCTAGAAGAGGCAGGGGCCCAGGGAGGAAGCTAGCTTGCTAAGATTATGGAGCATTTTCAGGAGCTCAGGCTTGGATATTGTTTGGCACCTCTATGGGCTCCCCCTACAAGTGCTGGAGCAGTGAGAGAGAAGACTGCAAAGAGGCACTTGCCGGAGACCTACAGGGGCTCTGAGTGTTTGGGGCCTGGGGAGGAGGCTGGAGCAACATCCTTGGGAACTCTAGTTAGTGGCTTCTCCCCTGTCCATTTGGCTGTGTGGGGGTGTCTTTAACCATCTTCTTGGAGGCCTGTGGACACCTTCTGCCCTCTGTCTCAGTGTGCTCCCCTTGAGTATGTTCCACCCACTTTCCTCTAGGACCTGAGTCTGCAGCCCTGAACTTATAACTGGCCATGATCTTTGTGACCTTTTTATCTAATCGGCCACCCAGGGCAAAAATGTCCTTGCCAGCACCCCGACAGCCAGCCAATGATGCTGGAACCTGGCTAGCGTCTGGGAATATACTGCCACCCAGCCGAAGGAACCCCACAGGGGCCCTGATTGTTCCTGCAGTCCAAGTGCCCTGTGGCAAAGCCACCAGCTACACTCGGTTTGCTTCTCAAACACCAGCAAAATGTCAACATCACAGCCATGCAGTCCCTTGGAATAAAGGAAAATAAAATATAATGAAGCCGGTAACTATGGACCTAGTGTTGGGCCTCACTGCCGGCCTGCCAATCTACCCTGTTAATCATCATGTATGGTTTTTTGAAGAGCTATTTTGAGAAATATTTAGAAAATGGCTTTTATATAGCTATATAGACCTTATTCATACCCTCCAGAAATGGTCGCTTTTTTCTGCAGCAGATGGTTTTCCCCTTGGTTCTTTTCATCTCTTATTCAAAGTTAAGTAGGAAATAAGCCCACTCCCTAACTCCAGGCAAGAATTTGTCACCCACAGTTTACCCTGGAGTCAGGGTTGGGGGCGAGGGTAGCTGTGGCAGGAAAGGCTGTGGATTCTTTGTGAGGCACTGCTCCAGAGAGCTCGAGAGGGTAGAGCCAGTGGGCACTGTGACCACTGAGAGGCTCCAAAGTTTGGGATTAGGGAAAGAGCAGAGCCCCTGGGCTGGAGCTGGAGGGGCAGCTTAGAATATAGGTTCCTGGTTTGCTTCTCTCAGCAACTCAGGGCCCTTGAAGTTCATGAAGTACACATCAAGAACATTACTTTGACCTCTGGAGAACAGGGTCCAAAGCAAGACAAGACACCCTGGCCTTGCCCAAGTGGTCCATTTTGGCCCACAGGAAGCTGCAAGTCTGCCCTGCATGGTTGCCATGGCAACTGTAGTACAGAGGCTCCTAAGGACAAGGGGAGGAGATGGGAGGTGGAGAAGGCATATTGTGGCTTTTCTGGAAAAGCCCTTGTGTTTCTTTCCCCCAGGAAACCAGGCTGGAGGAAAACAAAACACAATAAAAATTTATAGGCATTTGGGGTCTAGCAGAGAAAGCAGAGCATAGACTCCACAATGCTCTAAGAGTATCATTCCTGACCACATGTGCCTCCTTCCTTTGGGGGAGGCAAGTTAGGACAAAGACATAGCTCTGCACGGGCCTGGCCAGGTGGTGCCACACAGCAGCCCATTTGCAGGATTGGGGTAGCCCTGAAATCTTAGGCTCTGTGGGACTAGTCCTTGAAAATAGTCCCTGCTATCTGCCACAGCAGGATTTCTTCTTGGCAGGGCGACCAACCTGAATGGTGTCCATCCTTACTGTGTCTTCATGTTCCTTGAGGAACCTGGGAGAAGGCAAGAAACAGTGTCAGTGGCAGAAAAGCTGTTAAGTTTGGGGGCTGGCTGCATGGACTAGGCACCCTTATAGGATACAGATCTTTGGAGTAATTTAGAGAGCACCCCACTTCACCAGTGGGTAGGACAGGAGTGTGACTCTAATTGTAAAGCCAAAGGGTTTAATCAATACATATTCTTCAAAACACCTTCTCTAAAAGTCCCTCTTGACTCTCACTTGATTTGACTCTGAGCCTTTTCTCTTGGAACCCCATCACCCAGAATCATAATGCTTTTGGCCATATCCCTCACCGTAGTATGAGCTGCTTCAAGGCAGAGCTTTGGCCTTTACCTCTGTGTCTCCACAGCCTATCACCATGACTGGCACACTGTTCGGGCTCAGAAAATAGATTTATTGGTTGTTAACTCTACAGAAGGGCTGCACCATGTGGCCACAGCTCCAGATGAAATGTAGGAGGTGAGGGATTAAAAATAATGGTAAGCGTCTTATCCCTGTTTTATGCTCTCAAAATACTTTCATCTTCTACGTCTCCTTTGATTCTCACAACAACCTGTGAGAGGGTGATTGATGTTCCTACATTACCAACAAAGCTTGGAGAGCCTTACCCAGGGAGTCAGAGGCAGAGGAAATTCTAGAACTTTCCCCAGAGTACGTACCATATCCATAATACCTCCAATGCTTGGAAGAGTTGCTCTGGGTTCTTAATTACTCAAATTCAAATATTTCAAATGCCCCAGCATGAGGGCTGAGTGTGACAGGAGCACTATTAAGTATTTATTGGGTGGATAGGTGGATGGATGGAATGGAATGAATGCCCAGATGGAGAGATGAATGAATGGATGCCTACGTATTGACAATGGCTCCCAGTGTGGTTTTGTTTTCTAAATATTTGGCGTAGGCAGGGTCTTAAGGAACAAATCTTTCTATGTGACTGGTCCTTTTAGCACCATGACTGTGGGTACCTCTGACTGAGTCTCCATCACAGCCCTGCCTCTTTCTGGTTCCTCCCCCTCCACCCCAGGAACTCCTATTATAACCCAGGCTTGTTCCCAGCTGGCTACCAACTAATCCCTGCTTTGATATTAGCCAGTACTGAGGGACCACTAATATGACCTTTCCCAAGAGCATCTGCATTTAAAAAAGAATCTCTGCAAAAAAGCAGCCTTTAAGACTCAGAAGAAGACTGCAATGGGGGTGACAGGCAGGGATGCTTCCTTTCTCTTCATTACTGTGTTTCAGAAGGCTGCACCTTATGGCTGAAATCCCACACAAAGGCGGTGGTCCCCACAGCCTGAACTCAGAGCACTGGAGCCCACACAGAGGGAGGGCCCAGGGGTATGGTTTGGGTGGAGGTGAACACAGGCCCCCATCAGGCCTGGCACAGGTTGGTCAGAAGATTCCTCCACCTGCTGACTGTCTTCCTACCTGGCTAGATGGAGCAGGGACTCCTTGGTATTGTGACCAGAATGGGCGCTGCATTCATAGAAGATCAGATTATTTTCCTAGAATCACAAAACAGAGAGAATTGGGGGAGTAAGAGTTAACTGTGAGAGATGTCTGCTTCTGTCTACCACCCTCAACTCCTCCTGCAGACCCTTGAACTCTTCACACCCCTTTGCACCCCAATGTGGTTGGTTTCTGGCTCCAAGGCTCCCTGCCTGATGCAAGTTTCTCTGGGGTGAGCCATTACAATTGTGAAACAACAAAGCTGTGTGCTGCTTAGGACTTTAGACTTTCTTGAATCACTCTCAAGACTGGATGTGCTCATTTCATGTTCACACCAGCCCTGGGGCCCAGGCAGAGGCACTGAAAAACCAGCCTCTATCTCAGAGCAAAACCTGTCCAAGGAAGGGACATGGCCTTTGTCCTTGGAAAGACCCACAGAGCACTCCTAAGCACATTCCCACCCTGCTAAGTTGTTTATCTACAAATAACAGGAGAGATCTGCTGCGCCAGGTGTCCCTGACTCAGTCAGGCTAGGTGGGGATCCATAGCAGGCCCCTAGCAGCCACCAATCAGCATGAGACAGGGAAATACCTGGGATGCCAGATGACCCTCCCAGTAGTTTATGGTGTTGGCAAACCGTGTAGTTCAGCACATACACCCCTCTTGGCTTAAGCCAATCAGTTCAAATGAATACCCCTTTTGTACTAACCAATCACCCCTACCCAACTTGTTCCCTCCAGTGAATGTGCTAATCATGTTTTAGAGTTGTTATTTGATTTTCTCGCGGTGTGTGATGATTTGCTATGATGTATGTGAAGTCCCTGCCTTCTCCAAAGAATGTATAAAACTGCTGCAAACTCTGGGCTCGGGGCCTCTCAGCGTCACCAGTTGCTGTGTGTGCGCGCGGAGGACCGAGCTAGCTCGCAATAAACACCTCTTTGCTGCTTACATCGATCTTGGGTCTCTGGTGGTCTTTGGGGGTCCCGAATTCTAGCATAACAGCACAAAGGCCAGGGCAGGCACCATGCTTCTCACTTCCCAGGAAGGGAAACCAAGGCTGAGAGGCCATGGCAGGTGGCTTGCCCAGGTCACACATTTAGTAAATGGCTTTTTTTTACCAGTAGCATGCTTTGCCCAGGATGCTGGTGTTCCGTGGACCTTAGGCAGACATCATGAGGCACTCCAAGTCTGAATTCTCCTCTACACCAGGAAATTAATATTCTGGCTGCCCAGGCTGTCATCACTGGGCACAGGACAATTGTCCATCGCCTCATCAGTCTGTGCTGCATGCATGGGGGGCCCTTGGCCAAGGCTCACCAGACTCCAGTTCTCATTTGCACTAAGAGTGCTTGCTTCATTATAATGCTAATGCCATTGGGCTCTCGATTTTAGATGCTCTTTCTCTGGAAGCTCATACTTGTGGGGATCCAGACAGGTTGAGCGAGGAGGCTTCTGTGGTTGCAGTTGGCTTGCAGTCAGCTTTCCCATTCCCCTCCCCAGGCTCAGATCCATCCTCTGCCTGCTATACCCAGCTTCATCTCTCCCTGTCTCCCATCCAAGCACTAATTAGACCGCTTAGCTTCCAACACCAGGGAGATCGGTGTGTTTGGGATGGTGTGTCCACAGACTCATCTCTCCCTGTCCACACTTCTATCAGATCCTGACTCTGGGTCAGTCTATCAAAGAGTAGAGACTTTAAAAGTGGGGGTGGGGATGGGAGAAGAAGGCATAGGACCTATTATTGGAAAGCATGATTTGCCTTCCAGCTCCAAGTGCCAATCCCACCACTGATGAGTTGTGTGATAATTTGAATGAATCACTCAACTCCTGTCTCACTGCTTTTTTTTTTTAACAGATCAAAAAGAGAAAAGAAGAAAAGAAAATGGAATAATAATTATATAGGTCTGCAGTTTCTTAACCAAAATCTTTAGATCTAGCTATATTTTGGGAATCAGAATTTTTTGAATTTTGAAAGGTAATGCATGTATATACTATATATTATAAAATGTCCTCAGGGGATCTGGGACTGCACTCTATAATCAAATAAATTAGCATTTCTTCAGTGAGACATTTGAATATTCATTCATTCAAAGTGAGGTAAAGCCCCATGTCAGTTCTAGTCAGATTTTCCTGCCAGATGAAACGTTAAGGAAACTTTGTATCTTCAGAGTGCTTTGGATTTCAGAATTGTAGACATGTAACCACATGTAGACCCTTCACCTAGTCACCTGCCAGCCTGGTCTCTATCCTTTCTTCTTGGGTCTTACTCCCTGTGCTCCTTTCCCAGGCTCTGAGCTCATGACTTCCTGTTCAGGCCAAGTGCACAAAGAACTGTAAAATCTCAGGGTTGGCCAGTATGCATGTGTATCCTCCCAGATACACAGCTCCATGAAAACCAAACGGAGGCCAAAAAGACGCCCAGCAACAAGCAAGCACTGCCTCATGGCCTGGTTTCCATGAGGCCCTGCTGGTCCCATTCTTGGGCCAGGGGGCGGATGCTGATTGTGGACTTTCCAATGCCTGCCCTGAATTAATTTTGAGGCTCCATCTTGACAGAAAGGAGGACTCATGAGCAGAGCAGTCCAAAGAAAAGCAAACTGCCCTGAAGATAGATAGAAATTTTCATCTTTGAGAGTAATCAAGGAGTGACACAGATGATGGGGTTCAAGCCTCAGTGGGGGATTGAAATAAGTGACCTCACTATCGATGATATAATTTATGATTCTACATTCCAAGGATTGGGATTTAGGATATTTGCCCATTCCCAGTGGTCCTCAGCCAACTCCTTCTGATGATATGTGTCTTTCTATGGAAAAGGCTCAATGCATAGAAGTCAGGCTATTCCCATGATGATGAGACATTCATCTTGCTTCCTTCTCAAGGGACTTCCAGAAGTTCCCATCAAGGCTCTTGGGTTCTTGGAGTCTGAGAGATGGTAATTCTGGTTCTTACCTTGGCAAGCTGCTCTCCGAGGCCTCGGGGGACTTCTCGCTCCTTCTCGTTGTCAAGTTTATTGCCCAGCAGAAGAATGGGAACATGGTCTCCCACAGCTTCCTACAGAACAGAGAATCCCTCAGCTGAGAGAAGCATCCATAGGAGAGCCCAGGTGGGCAGGCTTACAGTGCTGATTGGAAAGATACAATGTGGTTTGAGAGTGCCCTGGTTTGAGAGCTGCCAAAACTGTGACCAAGACCTGAGAGAAAGGCCATCTTGTCTGATAGCCTCAGTTCACCATGCTTCTGCAAGAAGCCTGGACCTGCCTATTGGTCTCTTTGTGACGCCTGCTCTCCTTTCACCACTCTCCCTGGATCTGAACAGAGCCTGTGGGCTCCCAGGTGTGCTGAGGGGAGGCAGCAGGACAAGGGGAGTGTTGACAAGAATGGCTGGCAGGTTCTTTCCAGGGCTCATCTCGAGGGCATTCCTAAGTGACCAAACTTGGTCTAAGGAGCCAAAATGGATCAAGGCAATTAATCAACATGGTTTGGGTCTGTTTTTCAGGCCGCTTTGATTAGAAGTGGTATGTCCAGCCGGATGTGTTGATGCACGCCTGTAGACCCAGTGCCTCAGGAGGCTGAAGCAGGAAGATTGCAAGTTCAAATCCAGCCTCAACAACTTAGTGAGGCACTAAGCAACTCGGTGAGACCCTGTCTCTAAATAAAATATAAAAAAGGGCTGGGAATGTGGCTCAGTGATTAAGTGCCCCTGGGTTCCATCCCTGGTACCGAAAAATAAAAGTGGTTATATCCAGAGATCTTGTTGATACCTAAACTCCCTGAGGGTTGGATCCAAATCTGACTCACTGTATGGGGCCCACAGAGCTCTAAAAATGACTGCCGTGTGCCTAACTGGAGGTGGGCACTACAGATCTATGTCACTGGGTGCTGTGGTTCTAAAGAAAGTTCTGCACCAGAAAGAACCATGTGGCTACAGCAGCTGATGCTGGCGATGGAACTCAGGGCTGGCACCGCACCACCAAGCCGCCCCTCAGTGGCATTTCTTGGGTTCATTCAAGGTGTTGATTCTATTTACTCCTGCACTGACTGTGGCACATCAGCCAGGGGCCTGCTTCCCGGGGTCTCTGCCCTTACTTGAGAGGGGATACTGCATGAGAACAAAGGCCCCAGGACTTACAGCTATTCAGTGAGGAAATATGGTAATGTTCACATTTAAGAAGGCTGCTATTTTTACTTTGTGAAATATTTAATTAGAGGCTTTTAATCATAATTTAGTAACAAATAGTTATTCATCATAGCTAAATGTTTTACTAAACACAGGGGGCCACAGGATAACAGAAGCTTATAAGCAGTTACAGTTTTGCTAATACTTTAGCTACTTTACTGCTGCATTTCTAATAGATGTCTAAAGTCCATCTGAAAGGCATACTTATTTTAAGTTTAAATGCAATTACCTTTCAAATTAAAGCCTCAATGTTTCCTTAATCTGTACATTTGTTTTTATTGCAGTTCAGTAGTAGAAGAAAAAAAATTCTCATTTACTAAATGAGAACATTAGGCTCACAGAAAACAGAAGAACATTCGACAATGAAGTCACTGAGTTGTGGGGACTGTTCAGTACATGGCTCCACAATTCTCTCACCTTTCTGTCTAGATTCTTACTTCCAATGAACTCTCTGCCTCTTAGTGTCTTACTAAATAGAACTCTCTAAAAATGGCATCCATTGGTAGGATGGTAATTAATGTGCATAATGATGACTCAAAGGCACTTCAAGATCTTACAGTGTCTTCTGATTCATCAAAAATAAATTAAACTGGGCATGGTGGCTCATGTCTGTAATCCCAGGGATCTGGGAGTCTGAGGCAGGAGGATCGCAAGAGGGAGGCCAGCCTCGGCAACTTAGCAAGGCCTAAGCAACTTAGTGTGACTCTGTTTCAGAACGGAAAATTTTTAAAAAGTATTGAGGATGCAGCTTAATGATCAAGCATCCCTGGATTCAATCCCCAGTATCTAAATAAATTAATTAATTTGATTGTGTGCACTGTTGTTGATGTGTCAAGTAGATTGTATCATCTTCCAATTATCTGAAAGTGAGTAACACACTCATGGCATATAGACTTGATGGCTCCCTATTAGCCAGAGTTTTAGTTAATGGGATTACTCCCCTTTCTCCAACTGTACGTGAGACTGCATACTTATGTGAAGAGTTTTTCACTGAAAAGGAAGAAAAGAGGAGGAAACAGGGAACTGGGCCAAAAGGCTTGCTGTTTAGAGCACATGAGAAAGATATATTTGTAGATTTATGTGTGAGGAATGACTAAGGCTTGTGGGGTTTCTTGACATGGAAACTCTCTAAAAAGATGAGCATCAGACTGAAAATCACAGGGTAGAATTCTAACCTGCATTTTTGTTATTACTTGGCATGCGCGATGGCTGCAGTTTCCTCACTTGCAAAGGGGAGACTGAATGACCAAAAGGGACAATGTAGGGCACAAGTCATAAGCCCAAATTCTGGGCCCTATGCATTATGAACAGCAGTGCTGTCTCTTGTGGGAAAAAAGGGGGCAGCCTCCTTCTTCTTTTTTAAAAAAGCAATTCCTAGATATAAAAATAAGAGTTTAGAAGGAACAGAAAAAGAAGCACAGCACCCAGCTGAAGCTGTGGTTTCTGTTCTCTGCATTGTTCCTCTTATGCAAGCGCTCTGGACAAGTCACTTCCTTCCCTCTGGTGGCTATGGCCTGCCACTGATAGAGGAGAAGTCGGTCCATCTCTAAAGAAATGGCAAAAATAAATGAGAACACACATAAGGCCAGAGAGTGTGTTATCACAGGCAATCTGTCCTCATCATGTTGGCCTGAGGTTAGTCTCTGACCCAGAAGCATAGGGAAGGACTGGGTGTCTCATGACCCTCTTCAACTTTAAGTCCAAAGGTCTTGAACTATGTCTATACTTTAATACCTTTCTTTTTTCTAACTAGGTTTTCAACCTGTCCACCACTTGGTATAACGAGGTTCATAATTATCCATTAGGTGACCCAACACCCCTTTTCCCCCCACTGTCATTGAGGGTAGAACCCAGAGCTTTATGCATACTATGCAAGCACTCCACCATTGAACTATGCCTCCAGCCCTACACTTCCCTTTCAAGGTCCAAAGTGTACCTCCTTCAAGCCTCTGGGGCTTTGGTGAACAAGTTTCAGGTCCACATGAGCTCTGTTGTTGATACCATTATGGATGCTAGTAAAGATCTCAGGGGCATGACAGGCCAGAATGAGAAAGCTTAGCTCCTCAGCCAGAGACACACAACCTCCGCTCAGGAGACTGGGGTTCTGCCATTTGTGACTTGTCTGATGCTTCCTCTCCTCTGAGTCTAATCTCTATCTATAAAATAGAGTTCTAGAGGTGACTTCTGTTCTAGGACTTTCTGACAGAGAAGCCTCTCTACACCTTCGATCATTTTAGCTGCCTTTCTCTGAATTTGAGTTTTTGGGAAGACAGATATGTTGAAATTCAAAAGATTACCCATCTCTGACTTTAAATAATAAGAGCTGTCAACGTGGAGCAGAGGATTGGCATTCAGCTCAGGATGTGCAGCTGCTGGATTTGGTGGTTGTAGGGTGTGTGTGTGTGTGTGTGTGTGTGTGTGTATGTGTGTTAATATCTGTTTGCTGGGAGGCATGAAAAAGCACTTAGCTAGGATGGTGCTGTTATTTCTCTGGAGCCAGAACAAAAAAATTTCTCAGCACATTAAAGTATGCTGTTATGCTAAGAAAAAAAAATGACTGCAAAATTATATCTTGGGGGTTTCCATATTTATCCACCCCCCTGGACTATGAGTCAAAACAAGATTTATTTGTGTAGTTCGTTTTAAACTGCCAGCACCTCAAGCTCAACTTGGAACGTGGGGAAAAAAATCAAACTGCTATTTTTGCTCCATGCTATACATTGTCACCAAGGACAAAGATCAAGAGAATGAGATTTAGCTCGCAGCCCAGGAAAGGAGAAGGAAGTGGGCCAGAGTCCCTGGAGCCGAAGAACTCAAGAAGGACTGAAAAAGAAATGAACACTTATTTCTCAGCAGCAGATTTCATCCATGGACCATGTGACCAGAGAGAAGCACAGTGCAGTGGCAGGGCCTAGATTCTAGTTCTGGCTATGCTACTGACAAGCTGTAGGTGCCTTGGACAAGTCGTTTCCTTTCTTTAGATTTTGATTTTTTTCTCACCTATATTTTAAAAAATGTATTGATCTCCAAGTTTTTTGTTTGTGTTAATCCCCAAGTTTTCTTCCAACTCAGAGATAAAGGTCTATCTGGTTTACCAATTTCGGTCATATTCTACTTCCTTGACTTACAGTCCTAACACTATAGTGTTACCAAAAGGTTGGTCCTTGTCTGGATGCCAATCCAATAATGAGGATACAGTTTTCAGAAAAAGGAAAAGAAGGTTTATTGCTTTGAAAGCAAAGGAGAAACACAGGGACTCCTGTCCCAGAGGCTGTGATTCTGCCCATCAGCAGGAACAGGAGGCTTTTAAAGAAGTGGTTCAAAGGCTACATTCCATGTGTTCTTTGTTGGAGTTGTAATTCACTCATTAATTTGGGAGACAGTCATTTCTAAGACCTTCTGGTGCCACCCACAAAGTCTGAATTACTTGTTCCTGTGGTGGGTGTGTGCTCAAGGACAGATAATTCTGTCTAGGATGGGGAAGAAAGATAATCCTGTCTCTATTACCCCCCACACATATATGATTACATGACCTGTGTAACTCTACATCATGTACAACCAGAAGAATGAGAAGTTATACTCCATTTATATATGATGTGTCAAAATGCATTCTACTGTCATATATAAATAATTAGAACAAATAAAAATATATCAAAAAAAGAAAGGTAATACTGTTTCCCCTGAGATTAGGGAGGGGGAGAAATTAGGGAGGAGCAGGGAGAGAAGAAGAGAAAGAAATATGTGCATTTTAAAAACAAGTCACAATATCAGAGCAGCAAGGGCTAATTCAAAGCATAAAGTGGACCACTGTTAAAATAGTGCCATCAGAATGACCAAAAAAAAAAAAAAATGGGGGGGGATCTAAACAAGAAGTT